ATAGATGTAAAAGGAGTGGAGAAAGTACCGAGCCCTATGGCGCACCACAAAAGAGTGGCTGAGGGCTGCATCTCTCACTCTCTATTAACATTGAATGGGACCAGCCTTAGAGAAAGGCGCCGAATAGCGCAAGACTGTGCTGCCTAGCACCAGCCCCCTGTAGCTGGCTCAAAAAGATCCCCTGGTCAATGGTATCAAAGGACACTGAGAAGGGGTGAAATTCTGACAGGTTCTGGAGAACCAGGAGCAGAAATTTTGAGTAGTTCGGAGAACCAATAAATACTACCTCTGGCTGGCCCCAGAGTGGGGTGGGAATGGAGATTTTGCAATATCCTTCCCCTGCTACACCCACAAAACCTGTAGTAAAAAAAAAATAGATTTCACCATTGCCATGGTGAAGTCATGGAGAGTGAGGAGGGTTGCACTATCTTTTCCCACTTTAGGGAGATTTCACCCAACATGCTAAAGCAATGTGATTTGTTTGGTTTAGATTAGTGTTGTGTGAAGCCAGTCAGTGTTATTTCACACAATCAGTCTCCAGATTTAGTTTTATGTGAAGTAGACTCTTTGTTTTCAAAAGATTCTGGGTCTAAACTGCAACGTTTTCTGCATTATGCTAAAGCCAGAAAAATTACCTCCCTGGCATATATCCTTCTGTAATCACATACTTTTTTTATTTTAAGCATTTTTAAGCATTGATAATGAAGCAGCTAATGAAAAGTACCAATTCTGATCATTTTAGAACACCAGTAGAAAAAGTTGTGTATATTTAGATACCTATGAGTAAACCTGTCTGAAGGAAGTAAAAATAATGCTATTAGATGCAATGAATTAAAACTCAAGAATGACTATATGTGCTTTGCATTGAATGAATCATGTGGAAAGATAATTTCTGTGTGCTTTATCAAATTAATTTCACAGAATCAATTCCAGTTGTAAACTACAAGTAGAATTATTCAATTAAATCATGGTCACACCAAAGATAAATGAACAAATGAAGCCCTGGAATGAATGTGATAGAAAGTATAACTGGATATTATAGAGATGAAGAAACAGTCTTAATGCAATAAATGGAGTGATACCATTTATTTGGAATATAACTTTCATTGCCTGGGTTGCACACATATACATTCACTTCATTAATGGAAGAGAGGCTGATTGCATTCTGCTAACTCACCTTTAAGTAGCTGGGTTCATCACTGAAACTAAAGTGTGGTTTAGAAATTTAGGTGGCTAAATTCATGAAACCTTGGAGCCTGAAACCAACCAAATGGTGGGTGGGTGGGCATGAGACTGATACCTTGCAGGTTTTCAGAGGAAGAAAAGCAAGTCCCTTCGTTTCTCCTTTCCTGTGGTTGCTATTATTTTCTAAAGTGGTGTGCTTGGTAAGTTGTGGCTTTAAATAAATGTGCTCCAGAAGCCAGAAAATTTCTCAGAACCTTTATTATAATTCAGACTTTACAGAACAAGCACTCTCCACTGAAAGCCAAAACAGACTCGCAAAGCAAAGCAAAGAAGAACTTCTCCGCACTCTGGCTTTAATGTGTGGCTTATTCCCTTGCCAGGGATTCCATTCTTCTGCCATGCTAACAAATCCAGTCCCTTTTGCTTGCAGCTGCCCAGACTCTTTGGTGAGTCCTTCTAGCCCTGGATCAGAGAGACTTTTAGGACTGGTCACCAGGGCCAGCTGCTTGGAGTACTGTATAGGAGAGGAAACTCTGATGGGAAAAGGTAAGTAGGATGCTGGCTTGTTTGGCCCAAGATCAATGTTACTCCACCAAATGGCTTTGAACTGGAGTCTGTTGGGTCTATAACCCTCCATTGCCTGTTCTCTTCCTTTTCCTTTTGTCGTTGCTTTAAATATAACAGTGTGAACCAACCAAGAGTGATTACAGGGACAGCTAATAGCCATTTCCATATATCTGCCTCAGAATGCCCTAGCGATATTAATGTTAAACACATACCATGATCATGCCAGGACTTAAATATATGCATAAATTGTTACAAATATATTATAGTAAAAAGGGAAATTCCATAATTTGGGGTCCAAAAGATAGGCTTCATGTTGGGGATGGTTGATAGATTAATCTCAGATCGCATTCCCCCCCCCCCCCGGCTCATCCTACTCTCTCCCACCTTTTAGCTGTTGTATTTTGTATTTTTATGTTTGTAATATTTTATTTATATAATTTAATTTTTTAAATATTGTAAGCCGCCCAGAGTAACCCTGTGGTAAGATAGGTAAGATACTAAATTTAGTACATAAATATGTAATGGTTCACCATCTCTTCTGGGCGGGCCAAGTTATTGATCTGTGGCCAGAGGAATGCTTGGAAATGTGTGAATGTACAGCCTTCCTGAAGGCTCATTGGTCTGAAACATGCCCAAGGCTGAGGCCAAGGTCCTAGTTAGCAAGATATGGTGAACACCAGAAGAAGGCACAGTATGGATAGTCTAATTTATGGTGGCATTCAAACATTAGGAATACACTCTAACTACAGTGAGGGCTAAATAATATACAGAACTGTTAGTGAGAAAAACTTTTTTGAGAAGAGGACATCATAGACTTTGGTGCATCTCAGAGACAAGACTAAACTATAAACTGAACTATCTAAAAGAAGAGAGTGGGAAAGGGGGAAAAATATTTTGCCATCTCTCAAAACAAAAGATTTAACTTATTCAAGGGACTTCAGCAGAAGGATTCCAAGAAAGATTCCTGAAAATCAAGGCTGATCATCAAGAGTGGCTGACTTCCACAAGATCTTGGGTTGTTTACAGGTCAGAGATCCGAGCTAAAATGTCAGAATAAAACAAGTAGTTTATTTGAGCTGAAATAAACTTGGTGTGAGTCTCCAAGTGTGATAATAATCAATAGCAGAACAAAATAATAAAATAATTACAGGATGTAATTACAGGAGAAAAAGATTTTGAGGATCATGAGGGAGAGCGACATCTTACTCGCTTATGGAATGATGCAATCATAAATTTAGAAAGGGCCAGTTAAGCTGTTGAGTCGTTCGTCTCCTACCCACACAGAGCTCACTAACAGAATCTAATTTAAAGTATCTTTAACAACTGTTTCTTAACACCACCTACGAAGGGGGCTACTAGCTCACAGATAAATCGTTTACATTCCACTGATCACAACATTAGAAAGTTTTTTCCCTTAACATTCATTAATTTTCCTAGTATTGTACAGGTAGTCATTGACTTATAACAGTTCGTTTAATGACTATTTGAAGTTACAAGAGCATTGAAAAAAGTGACTTATGACTGTTGTTCACACTTACAGCTGTTACATCATGGTCACATGATCAAAATTCAGCTATTTGACAACTGATTCCTCTATATGACAGTTGCAGTGTTCTGGAGTCACTTTTGTGATCTTCTAACAAGCAAAGTCAATGGGGAAGCCAGAGTCACTTAACAACCGTGTTACTAACTTAATAACAGTGATTCACTTAACAACTTTGACAAGAAAGATGGCAAAATGGGACAAAACTCACTTAACAACTGTCCTGCTTAGCAACAGAAACGTTGGGCTCAATTGTGGTCACAAGTTGAAAATTACTTGTATTTTATGAAATCACAGAACATCTAACGTTTATATTATCTTTCTAATCAAAGTATTCTGTGACACATTAAACACCGAGAGCCTTTCTTCACTAGGGATTCTAAGTCTAACTAAACACTTGCTATCCCAAAATATGAATGGAAGAATATTTTGGGTGTCTATTGGGTCCTGCCTTCCTAAAATTTAGGATTTTCTAGGGATTGTATCAATAACTGATCAAGTTTGGTCTCTTATCTGTTTCACAGCTTCTTGAAAATGATTCATTTAACAACTTCAGCGATTCGCTTAACAACCATGGCAAAAAAATGTCACAAAATTGGGTGCTACTTAACAACTGCTTTGCTTAGCAACACAAATTGTGATCCCACAATTGTGGCACCACAAGTGGAACCAGCCACAGATAAATTGAAATTTAAACAAGAGGAACACCAATAAATGGGATGGTCACAAGGCATCTATTAGTCTGTGGTGCAGCCTATTCCCTCCTTCTGAGAGACGCTCCTTTTCTGAAGTGTGGCATTAAGGGAAACTTTTTTTTTTTTAAATTTGATTTATATGCCGCCCTTCTCCGGAGACTCAGGGCGGCTTACAATGTGCTCAGCAATAGCCTTCATCCTTTTGTATATTTATACAAAGTCAGCTTATTGCCCCCACAACTGGGTCCTCAATTTACCTACCTTAGAAAGGATGGAAGGCTGAGTCAACCTTGACCCTGGCGAGATTCGAACCTACAGTAATTGCAGGCAGCTGGTCTTAATAACAGGGTGCTTTAGACCACTGTACTACCAAGGCTCCTAAACTTTGATCGATATGAGGTGGAAGAGAGGCAATGCCTTTCATAATGAAAAAATACAAGTTGCCCACGCTCTGCTCTTCAAGTACAAACACATATCATAACTCTGGGACTCTTTTTTTTTTCCTGCTTTGGGCAGCCTCCTCTTTTCCAACCACAGGTTTCGTTTTTTGGCACACTCTTCTTTCTCCCAACTTGAAACAAAGTAAGCAGAATGGAGCATGGGGAGGTGCCCCTCCTGCTTGGGCTGGCGGGGCCATGCTTGGCGTGACGGAGGGCGAAGGCTGTGGGACAGGCCCGCTTCCTCTCCCCCAGCGCAGCCCTCGGGCCTAATGAGTTGTCCAAAGGAAGCAGGTTCCAGCGCGCGTGGCTAGCGGGACGCTCTGATTGGCCAGCTGCGCCTCGCGACCCCCATTCATTAATAAATTAGCGGCACGCTCCAGCCGAGCGCAAGGCACCAATCACACCCCAGAATTGTCCCGGTTGCCAACACACTTTCGGAGGATCAGATAAAAGGGGGGAGGAGGAGGAGGAGGGAGGGGAAAGAGGAGCGCACACACACACCCTAAAAAAAGAGAGAGAGAGAGAGAGAAAAGAGATGAGCGATGATAATGAAATGAAAAGGAAAGCTAAACCTGGGGAGGGGGAGAGCCGAGGAGGCCCCGGGGGTACATTTGATTGTTTTCCATGGGGTATATAAGGGGTTTTAAGTAGAGTCGTGTGCCAGACACACAGCCACAGAAACACAAGCAGCTTCGCTTTAACTGGAGGGTCCAGGCGCGTGCCAGCAGCTTTCCCCACTGAGTTGCCCTGTTTCTGACACACACGCAGGCCGGCAGCGACGGGCCAGACAACCAGCCCTTTTAAAGACCTTTCCCTCCCCTTCGCCCCCCCCCTCCGAGCAAGGGGCCCTGGACCCACACCAACACCCAGCCACGGTGGGACCTTCTCCAGCAACCGGGAGGGAACGGCGCGGGGGCCAAGCTGAACCCTGAAGGTTGTCCCAAGGGGCGGTGCGGAACGAGACAGGAGCAGCCAGCCGCGTCTTCGGGCCAAAAAAAAGGGGGCCGAGCGAAAAAACAATTCGGTTACTTCCAAAAGAGCCAAGTAAGTTTCCGAGCTTCCCTCTCTTCTCTTCCCTCCACCCCCCCATTTCTTTGAGGCGAACTTGGTTGGCTGACAGCCGTTTTCGGAGCGGCAGCCAAAACTCCCGCTTAGAGCTTTAGGCGCAATCGCAGTGTGGCTCTCTCGGCCTCCCCTCCCCGGCCGCCGAGTATTGGTAGGAAGCCCTCGCTCCAAAAGCAACCCAGCCGAGCGGAGGGAGGGCTTGGAAGCGAAGCGCCCTTGTGGTTGCCTCACGCTCAATAGATTACGCCTTCCAAGCAAACCCGTTGCAGTGAAGTCAGCGGCATTCGTTGATCCCAAAGCGGTCCCTGAGAGCTGCACCGCAGACTTTTAAAGCGCTTAGGAGTCCAACGCTTAGCTTTGTAGGGACCCTGTGCGTCGAATATGCATCACCGTTCCATTGGCTGCCTATCGATGCCGTGGAAAAGTTTCGCACGCGGGTATCATAGAGGAGGCCAAGGACACTTGTGGAGCGGACAGCTTTCCCTCTTTTGTGAGAACTGACCCATCCGCGCCTGGCTGCGTTCTTACGGGGGGGGTGATGGGGTCGTTGGCGCGTTTTGGGTGGGCCGCGAGGGGATTCTCCCTCAGGAGCTCCAACTGCCTTTCCTCCAACTGACCGCTTGCCTCGTTTTGTGTTCTTCTTGCAGGATGTTCGCGAAGCCAGAGACGCTGGAAGTGAAGGAGGAAGAGGGGCTCATTGACCCCCGGTCCTCGCCCTCTTCTTCTTCCTCCCCCTCGTCTTCCTCCCTCGCCCCTTTCTCGTCGGGCTCCGAAGGGGAGGACGAGGTGGAAGAAGAGCCGCCCCGCGTCCTCCTCTCCCCTTCGGCATCAGCGCCCGAGGGGGCCGTCAAAGCGGCGGAGGTCGCGCGCCTTCCCCTGCTCGGCTTGAGACGGCACGACTGTAAGAGGCGCTCCGGCCGGGCGCGAAATGCCTCCCGCCTCACCAAGACGGCCGAGACGGTCCAACGGCTCAAGAAGAGCCGCCGCCTGAAAGCCAACAACCGCGAGAGGAACCGGATGCACAATCTGAACGCGGCCCTGGATGCCCTGCGGGAGGTGCTGCCCACCTTCCCGGAGGACGCCAAGCTGACCAAGATCGAGACGCTGCGCTTCGCTCACAACTACATTTGGGCGCTCACCGAGACGCTCCGCTTGGCCGACCATTGCGGAGGCGGAGGAGCGGCCGCTGCCGCCGCCGCTGCCGCTGCCGCCGCCGCCTTCTCCGAGGCAATGCTGGGAAGTATTAGCGGCGGAGGCGGCGGCGGCAGCAGCATTTCTCCAGCCTCTTCCTCGGGTTCCTGGAGCTGCACCACCAGCCCCGCTCCTTCGGCCGGTTCCTCGGCTTATAGCTGTGCTTTGTCTCCCTCAAGCCCCGGCAGCTCCGTCTCAGAGTTGGACTTCTGGCAACCGGAAAATCCCGGCTATGTGCTGTCCAGAGATTTAATCTGATGCCCGCTGGCTTCCCACTCGTCCCTCCCCGCGTGGGCCGGAGGGTGGGTAGACTGACGTAGCCCACCAGTAGCGGAGATCCCGTGTTTCGATTCCAGGGAAAGATTAGTCGTTCACCGGATCGGGCTGGGGGCGAAAGTATTAAGGCGGAGCGCCTGACCCCAGGGACGCTGGCTGCGGTCCTCCGCCGGCCCTTTGTAGGGCTCTGAGAACGCTTTTGAGTGTCTTCCTCTCCCTCGCACGATCCCTTCGACATTCGCGGTGTCTGGCCCTGGTGGTGGCATCTGCTTGTTTCCCATTGCCAGCCTGGCGGCTGTGGGAATTACACCTGTCAAACCAAACTTTCTGTCACTGTGATGTGCACTTTCCCACAATGTCTTTTGTTCTTCCTCTCTCTCTCTCTCTCTCTTCTGCCTGCCCAGCTCACGGCGACGTACATACCTCTTTTTCCTAGCGCTCCCTCTGCTTTTAGCCAGCTGCCTCCGCATGATTTATGCGGAGTGAAAAGGAGAGAAAACGAGAAAGTGGGAGGGTGGTTTTGTTTATCTGTTGATTTGCTTGTTTAGATTGAGTTAGAAGGCACCGCATAATTTGTAGGCATTATCCTGATTGAACGCAAGCGTGAAAATTTGAGGTGGGGGGGGGGTTGAGAATGTAGAAGCGGAGTGGGGTGAAGATGGATGGGGGCCCTTATGCAATAAGAGTCTCTTATGCATTATTTATCTCCACCTTTGATCGTTGGAAAATGCCCTTATTCTTTCAACAGACTAAAAATTCAAGCAGGAAAAACGTCAAAGAGATCATAAATTGCAATTAGCAACACACTTCTGCTTTTATTTATTGCAAAGGGAATAAAAACTTTTTTTGTAAGACATGGGGGAAGGGAGAAGAAACACAGATATATTTTTGTATATTTTACAGAGTTTATTCTAGTATGTATTTGCAGTTGCAGAGCAAGGAGGCGGTTCTTAAACATAAAACATATATAAATAAAGTATATAATTTTTCATGAGAGACAATGGTGGTGATCTTTGCTAATAGACTGAAGATTATTTCTGAGTTGTGACTGATTTCGTAGATGTCCTTTAGCTACAGTCTTGGATGTAAATCCTGATGAACATAGAATTTCTCTTTTATTTATGTGCTTTGCTAATGATGCATCACAGATCGGTTCTGAGGTATCCCTTTTTAAAAATCAATGAAATTAATTCCGTCATGAATATAACATTGTATCCACAAGGGTTTAAAGAAGCTATTGGTTGTTCTTTTGTTTTAAGTCAATAGTAACTTTTTTGCTTCTTTATTTAAGTAAAGTGTGCACCTTACAGTGTAGGCAGGGATAATGTAATAATGATGCTTGAAGGAGGTTTTCACTTCCTGATTCAGCAGCAAAAAAAAAACAACCCTTTCTAATTAAAAAAAATGCTTTAATATAGAAGGAACAACAATACCATGCGGTGTGCAAAAAAATTAGTAATTCTTAAACAAATCATTAAACCATGTCTGCATAAAATAATCTTCAATACTTCTCTTATATCGATGAAGCATCCATTCATAAACTAAAAAAAATGAAACTTCAGTATAATCCAAGATTCCAAATGAGATGTTGCACTGTATTCCCAACATTGCAGGCTGATCTTCTACACTGTCCGCCATGCTTGATATATCCATAATTCTTTATATCAGGGGTCTCCAACCTTGGCAACTTTAAGCCTGGTGAAGTTGAAGTCCGCCAAGCTTAAAGTTGCCAAGGTTGGAGACCGCTTTATATAGTCATCAGTTTTAAATTTATGATATATAATTAAGAGCCTTAGCCACAATTGGTTAATAAGGGATATTATTCCAATTCTTTATTCCAGAGTTCTTGTACATGTAATACCCAATTTACTAATGCTCCTGGTTTATAAAAGCATGCTATAGATACAGACTTAGAAGCATTCAAAACTAGGCCCCATGCTAATACATAATAATTAGGAGCTGTAACTGTGCAAATCCACCTGTAAGAATAGCCTGAACCACAGTCCATGACAGATACTTGGTTATGTTTCATAAGAAATAGAATATTTGGAATAAATTAATTCTACATGAACGGAAACATTATAAATGGATTCAGACAAATTCTTCCTTGCTTATTCCAGTAGTGATGCAACACTTGACTCCAAATAAAGTTCTAGTGATGCATTAAGACCTACTCCACAATTTAAGAATTGTGTCTTAAGATAACACTGAAATGGATCCTTTAGATAAGGATCAGGTGGCTACTCCTAGTGAGCTACAATGATACCTGAAAGCAGCTTAAGATGATTCAAAACATGTTCAACAGGGCATCACTTTTAATTAGTTTCACTGCACTTTTGTAAAGATGAAAGACAAGGGTACTATTTGAAGGGTAAAAGCACATCTCTCCCCTCCCCCTAAAAATACAAGATTGTGAGGTCGGAGGGTGTCATGCAAATATTTTATTATTCATTAGATTTGGAAAGTTGTGACATAACAAAAATGTAGGTTTCACTTTTTTGGGATTTGTGAATACACATAAAATCTATTTTTTTGTCCAGAATGATACTATTGAGAACTTGCTACTATAAAGACAGAGAAATCCACAAAGGAACAATCTTTATAACTCCTGAAATGCAATCTTATCTATGGCTATTTGGATACAAGTTTTTGTTAATGTTCACTTCCAAATAAATGGGTATAGAAGCATAAGTTCATAAGAACCTAAGTTCATGCAGCAGAGAAATAATGATTTTAAGCCTTGTGTTGAAAAAGAGTTGCTTGGTTCACATACAGCATTGTACCATAAATCATGGCTCATAATAGCAATAGCACTTAGACTTATATACCGCTTCACCATGCTTTACAGCCCTCTCTAAGTGGTATATAGAGTCAGCATATTGCCCCAACAATCTGGCTCCTCATTTTATCAACTTGGAGGGATGGAAGGCTGAGTCAACCTTGAGCCGGTGAGAATCGAACTGCCCAACTGCTGGCAGCTGGCAGTCAGCAGAATTAGCTTGAAGTACTGCATTCTAACCACTGTGCTACCACGGCTCTTAAATCACAATAATTAGATTCACATATCACACTATGCTGAAACAACATTATGATTTAACCTAATATATGATCTAAGTAACAGCATGTGTGAAACAATAAGGATCACCTACACCTACCTGGGATAAAACCCCACAATAATCAATGGAATTTATTTACACATGCTCAATAAACCTTGGATGTAAGTTTATATCCAAGTAAGAATGCAGATTCTGTATCATGTTGGTGCAATTTTAAAAAGAGGTGGAAAAATCCATTCCATACTTTTTTTGGCCAAAAACAATGAGCACGCCATTTGGGCTAGTGGCTAAGGCATCAGACTAGAAGCTAGGAGACCGTGAGTTCTAGTCTAGCCTTAGACATGAAAGCTGGATGTGTGACTTTGGGCCAGTCACTCGCTCCCAACCACTCCCCAGGGTTATTGTTGTGGGGAACACTGGAGGAAGAAGGAATACTGTATTAAGTATGTTTGCCACCTTCAGTTGTTTATAAAAATACCAAAGGTGGGATATCAATAAATACATTGAGTATAAAGCTTACTTTTTTGTTGGATTTATATCCCATTGTTCCACCAGCCAAGATCATTTCAAAAACAAAACCTCCAATTTAATTGAAAATACATTTTTCAAATATAAAATAATTGCTCAAATCAATCAGATCAGCCCGTCAAACACAGCCTGCATTTAAACAGTAGTGGAATTTCCCCCAGAAAAATCCAAGGGAAAAAAATTTAAACTTCTTGGGTTGGCATCGAATTGCAAAGCCTGGAGTCCAGGAACAGGCCTTCTGGGATTGAGTTCAGAACAAAAATGTGGTATTTTGCTTGTTTGTGGTTTATCCTCTTGGGGTAAACCAGTATGGCTAGCAAACCACGATTTAATGCTTTGGTGTTTAGTAAGCTTGGACTCTTGTGAGACTAGTAAACCATGATAAGAAGACAAAGCGACAGCATGATACACAAAACAAGGGCTGGCTGGATGCTTCACAGAAGGTAATTCTCCAGCTGTCTAGTGCAGGGGTCTCCAACCTTGGCAACTTTAAGACTTGTGGACTTCAACTCCCAGAATTCTTCAGCCAGTTTTGCTGAGGAATTCTGGGAGTTGAAGTCCACAAGTCTTAAAGTTGCCAAGGTTGGAGACCCTGGTCTAGTGGGAACCAGCTAAAATGAAAGAGGAGTATAGACAGGGCAGGGCTAAGGAAGAGCCTATTCCTCCCCCTTTCTTCACTCAGCTTTATCCATTCAGAATGGGCTGAGTGACAGTCGGCAGACGCGCATCATGGGAGCCTTGTCTTAGCACGTGGGGTCTGCCTCAGGGGAGCCCACCCCTTGCGGGAGGCAGCCAGGGCTGTCCTCCCAGCAGCCACGACTGAGGGGGACCCAGAGGACAGAAAGAATAAAAGTCCTTTACAGCACTAATGAGGATGTGAGAGTGAGAGTCTTGGAGACAGCGTGCTTGCCTCAGCCAGCCCAGGGTGCGATATACACAAGGGTGTGATATTAAATGGACACGTTGAGCTAGGGGTGACATGATAGCAGTGTTCCAATATCTCAGGGGCTGCCACAAAGAAGAGGGAGTCAAGCTATTCTCCAAAGCACCTGAGGGCAGGACAAGAAGCAATGGGTGGAAACTAATCAAGGAGAGAAGCAACTTAGAACTAAGGAGAAATTTCCTGACAGTGAGAACAATTAATCAGTGGAACAACTTGCCTCCAGAAGTTGTAAATGCTCCAACACTGGAAGTTTTTAAGAAGAGATTGGATAACCATTCGTCTGAAGTGGTATAGGGTTTCCTGCCTAAACAGGGGGTTGGACTAGAAGACCTCCAAGGTCCCTTCCAACTCTTCTCTTCTCTTCTCTTCTCTTCTCTTCTCTTCTCTTCTCTTCTCTTCTCTTCTCTTCTCTTCTCTTCTCTTCCCTTCCCTTCCCTTTCCTTCCCTTCCCTTCCCTTCCCTTCTCTTCTATTCCATCTTTCCCTTCTGATCTACTGAAACAGAGAACACTGCATTGGTATCTCACATCTGAGCAAAGTTGAGAATTATAGATTTAAATGGAAATTCCTATCCACCAATTGTCTATGGAGATTCTCAATCATCCAGGTCATGGTTGTCCCAAAAGTGCTTTTCAGTTCCAAGAACTGAAGAAGCTTCTTGGATGAGAAGCAAAATGTTTTCAAGGAGACCAACAAGAAATTCTAGCTGCCTTTTGGAAAAAGCACCTTTGGGTTATCCAACAATTCTGTGTTCATGCACTGCATTAAGTAATGCATGGTATTTTTAATCCAAACTGACTGGGATGGCAGAAGAGAGGAAGCCACAGGTTAGAAATCAGAATGGCTGAATTTACCCATCACAATACTAAAGCTGTTTCTTCACTAGTGGTTTTTAGAGTCCTCCAGAATGATCCATCCATCAGATGTAATAATAATGAAGATTCCCTTTATATTGCCCCAATAATGGTTAAGTCATTGTTTCTTTAGTCCATCCTTTAATTGGCCCCTACCATTTTAGTTCCTTTGAGTTGCCACTGGGGATGGGCCCCAAAACCAGGGGTGAAATTCAAATTTTTTTTCCTATCAGTTCTGTGGGCGGGGCTTGGTGGGCGTGGCAGGGGAAGGATATTGCAAAATCCCCATTCCCTTCCCGCTCCTGGGGGAAGGATATTGCAAAATGTCCATTCCCACCCCATTCTGGGGCCAGACAGAGGTGGTATTTGCCGGTTCTCCGAACTACTAAAAATTTCTGCTACCGGTTCTCCAGAACCTGTTAGAACCTGCTGGATTTCACCCCTGCCCAAAACTAATCTTAGGCTGAGCTGTGTTTCCATTCTGCATATGCTTAGCAAATGAAGGCTTTTTTCTTAGTAATGTTATCTTTTTATTAACTAAAATAATAAAGAAATAAAAATCTGCTTTAAAACGATTCCAGATGACTTTGCCAGATTAAAATGCAATAAAGTGC